CTCCTCGGGTCCCTTCAATTATCAGCTGAGCCGCAGCACCGCGGCCGGCGTGCGCCTCCGCCCGCGCCGCCTCCTTCCCCGCCCGTTCCAACACCCTCCGGGAACTACTTTTCCCTCAGGTTGCGCTGACGGTCTTGTCCGCGGGACGGGCCCCGCTCCCTACTCGCAGCCCATCGCATCGCCCCTCCCTCCCCCACCGCCCAGCTCCACTCCCTCAGCGGCCTGCGATCTCCTCCCGATCCCTTCAAGGGACCAGGAAGGGGAATGTGAGGCTTCGCTCGGTATCCCTCCGCCGGGGTCACCCCCTCCCCTCCGGAGTAGCAGGAACTAATTCCCCTTCGGGTCACCGGGACCAGAGGTGGAAATTTCACGGATCTGGGCTCCCTGAGACCCTTGGAAAAGGGGACGATCACCCCAAGTTAGAAACCCCTGTAGGCGCAAAAGCGGGTTCAATTTAAAGTAGGGCTTTGGCCCCATGACCTCAATCAAACCCCGCCCCTTCCTGGTTGTCCTAGCGACGGCGGTGGCGTCCCAAGATGGCGTCGTGGCTGCCGGAGACCCTGTTCGAAATTGTAGGACAAGGCCCGGCGCCGAGCAAAGACTATTACCAGTTATTGGTCACCCGATCTCAGGCAAGTGCGAGCCGCGGTTTGCCCTCTCTACTAACTCCCTGCCCGCTCCGGTGGAGCCCGGAACGCGAGCGGCGCTAGGCCGAGAGGGACTGGCCCGCCGGAAGCGCCCGGTCCCGGCTCGGAATCGGGAGATTTCCCTCGTCACCTCGGCCTCCGGTCAGCCCCGCGGCCCGCCTGTCCGTTCCCCGCCCCAGCCCCGCTCGTCCCCAGCGAGCTTTCTTTGCCTCCCCACAATCCCTTCCTGCCGCCGGGGTTCCTACCCGCAGAGTTCCCTCCGCGCGAAGAGAAAAACAGGCGTCCCGGGCGTGCGTGCAGCCTCACCTCAGCGTGGGAAGGAGGGAAAGAAAGACTCAGCCAAGTGTCCCGAGGAGGAGCCGGCAGGGGAGGGGAGGAAAGGACGATCCTTTTCCAGGGTAGGACTTAATCCTGGGGGATTTCTAAAATC